TTAAGCATGTGTTCATGTATTTCGACAATTTTCATAAAAATTGAAATTCCCGTTGGAATAAATAATAATGTTGGAATAAATTCCAATTGGAATTTAAATAATTCCGCCCGGACAGCGATTAATTCCGATCGAATACATGAAATTCCGCCGGACAAAGTTTTTTAAAATACAATTTTTGATAAGAAAAAAATTCAAAATAGCTTTAAATGAAGTCAATTATTAATAATTAACATTAAATCTATCGGATGAAATGATTTGTGAGTGTTTAGGGCAAGTATAAATGGTAGTGAATTTTGTAACTATCCCGGTGGTGCAAAGATTTTCCGGTGGCTGTTGTTTATTGACCAAATTTAACGAAATTTTGCATGTAAAAACATCATAGTATTATTAACCATAGTATCGAGAAAAATAAATAATAAAATAATCAATTTATAAAATATAAGTCATATTCGGTATCTTCTGTCCGCAACAGATATGCCTTTCATAGAAAACGCAACGAATATAACATATAACTTTTTTATTTATTGACAAAAATTAACGATATTTTGCATTTAACATTTTATTATTATAAACCATCATATCGAGAAAAATAAATAATAAAACAATCAATTTATAAAATGTAAGTCATATTCGGTATCTTCTGTCCGCAACGGATATGCCTTTTATAGAAAACGCAACGAATATAACTTATAACTTTTTTGTTTATTGATCAAATTTAACGAAATTTTGCATGTAAAAACATCATAGTATTATTAACCATAGTATCGAGAAAAATAAATAATAAAATAATCAATTTATAAAACATAAGTCGTATTCGGTATCTTCTGTTCGCAACGGATATGCCTTTTATAGAAAACGCAATGAATATAACTTATAACTTTTTTATTTATTGACCAAATTTAACGAAATTTTGCATGTAAAAACATCAAAGTATTATTAACCATAGTATCGAGAAAAATAAATAATAAAATAATCAATTTATAAAAAATAAGTCGTATTCGGTATCTTCTGTCCGCAACGGATATGACTTTTATAGAACGTAATTCGAATATAACTTATAACTTTTTTATTTATTGACCAAATTTAACGAAATTTTGCATGTAAAATCATTTTATTATTATTAAACATCGTATCAAGAAAAATAAATAATAAAATAATCAATTTATAAAAAATAAGTCGCATTCGGTATCTTCTGTCCGCAACGGATATGCCTTTTATAGAAAACGCAATGAATATAACTTATAACTTTTTTATTTATGGACCAAATTTAACGAAATTTTGCATGTAAATTTATTTTATTATTATAATACATCGTATCAAGAAAAAAATATAAGAAATAATTACTTTGTAAAATATAGGTCATATTCGATATCTTCTGTCCTTCACGGATATGACTGTTATTGAAAACGCAACGAATATAACTTATAACTTTTTTATTTATGGACCAAATTTAACGATATTTTGCATGTAAAATAATTATATTATTATAAAACATCGTATCGAGAAAAAATCATAAAAAATAATCAATTCATAAAAAATAAGTCATATTCGGTATCTCCTGTCCGCCACGGACATGACTTTTTAAGAACGTAATTCGAATATAACCCTTATAAATAACTTTTTTTTTTATGGACCAAATTTAACGAAATTTTGCATGTAAATTCATTTTATTATTATAAAACATCGTATCAAGAAAAATTTATAAAAAAATAATTAATTTGTAAAATATAGGTCATATTCGGTATTTATAGTGATATCCGCGGATATGACTCATATTTGGTATTAAGACATACCGCCAGTGGAGGCAATTTTGGTAGCACTCCACAGTTAATTTCAAGTTCCTGCCGTCAATGTCCTACAAGCAATACGTCTAATAATTCTGATACCAAACTACACAACCTGGAAAAAGAAAAACACATTTTTTGAGAACACTATATGACATAAGATTGCAAATCTACAAAGAAATTATCCCATCTGCAATAGGCAGGCAGTCAAAAAAAGTTGCAATTCATTCCGTTTGAAGCCCAAAAATCTACAGTGGCCCGAGACCCAAAACAACACATTTCCACCCTCTGGCAAAAAATATCTGCAAATATACAGGCTAAAGGAACACCGTCTTCTGCTTTAGCAACTCCCTATACATGCAAAATATCACAAAGAAACTAGTCCTCAACCTTGTAGATTTTTTGCTACTGCTAAAAGTTTGTACCCCCCTGTAAAATGACTTCTTTTTACCGTGCATGCTGTTTAAAAGCAATGTTTACAAAAAATGGCGGCCTTGACATACATAATCAACAGCATGTGATTTCTGGCCATGTTTTCGAATTTGCCAGTGATCATATTAGATGTCACAAAAACAAATTTTATGCTGAAAATGCATTTTAAAGACAACCAGTCATTTAAATCCCGAATATTCACTATATCCAGGAAATCCTCCCTGGCCATTCGAAGCTGTGGCTTACATTACTGTGGTGTGCTACCTTTCTGAATATTTTTATCAACTTAAATAAATGCTTTATTGTATGAAGTAGTTATATGTTACGAATGCGTAACTGACTTTTTATTGTCTGACAGAAGAAATAGTTTTATCCTGGATAGCCCAATCCTTACATTGATGTTGGGAGCATGCGATTAATCGGAGAGCTAGAAGTATAATAGTGCTCGGACTGATATTTCGGATACGGTTTGACATCTACAAAAGTCAACATTATAATTAATGCAACCAAGTAATAATAAGAGGATATGGAAGAAAACTGAAGATTTATATTCAATACACTGCTGATGAGGTTTCAAAACAGTTAAAAACCTCCAATTTACAAATATACACTCAAGAAAAAGATGGGTACAAATCATTCACCTGGATTCAGGACTTGTTCTTCTAAAAACTTCCGGTAAGTACTAAGTAGATGTAAGTTGATATGTATTTCTTTAGTATACACTCAGATAAAAGGGATTTAAGCATAATATTTTAAGATTTAAAAGTAGTAATGTGACATGATGCAACTAGCGACTAGGGTTATATTTACTGTTTAAAATAGAGCTTTATTGTCTGACGGGTAGCAAGACACTTCACCCAAGACACTTCAACCCTCAAGACAATTTACCCCCCCCCCCCCTCCAATTCAGTAGGGCACTTCACCACTCATCCAATTTTTTATTATTTTTAATATTATTTTATTAATAACTTTTAAATTAAGTGACTAAATAATATTGTATGTAAAATAAATAATATTGTATGAAAGATAAAAATATACATAAATAAATAAATAAGTAAACATAAAATGACTAGAAATGAATGAATGAAATCTACATAAATTTTTTATCCACTTATTGTTATAAATAACAAGAGCCTGACAGCCTGGGGGGGGGGCAACGCTCGACTTTTTACTTTCTCTAAAAGCAAACAAGCAAATTCGTTGAATTTATATCCCCCGCCGAGTACTGGTTATTATTAACACAACACATGGTGGTGGTGACAGTGACATGTGGTGGTGACACGTCGTGTTGGTGACATGTGGTGTCACGTGGTGGTGACACGTGGTGGTGACACATGGTGGTGGCGACACATGGTGACACGTGGTTGTGGCGGCGGTGACATGTGGTGGTGGTGACACGTTGTGGTGTCACGTGGTGGTGACACGTGGTGTCACATGGTGGTAGCATATGTGGTGTCACATGGTTGTGACACGTGGTCATTTAATGCACAAATTTGAGAAAATTCAGTAATTTAACCTTCAAGGTCAAGGTCATTTATGGATGAAGGTCAAGGTTAGTGTAGTCTACTGAAAGGTCTTGTCCCAAGGGTTGTTGTGGCCAAGTATGAAGACAATACACCAAGAAAAGTTATGATCCAGGTACAAGTTTGCGGACGGGAACGGCAACGCTGCCGCGACTATAGCAATACCTCTACTTTTTATTTCAAAAAAAAAGTCGAGCTAAAAAAAGAACAATTTACATTTACCTACATGTAACTAACAAATTAAGTAAACTTACCGGTATCACATGCTATGTGTTGCCAGTTACATTTGTATTATTGTTTTGCTTTCAAACCACTAAGCAAGGTACTGTCATTATATACATGTATTTTACTTAATATATATATCGAAGAAGGTTCAAACATTTCAATAGAATGGTCATTTAATTAGTTATATCACTTTCACTTTAATTGAAATTAGTATAAAATATTTAAGTTAATAAAAAGAAAATAAACTAGAAATGTGTCGTCATGCCACGGATGGCCCCGCATGCAGCCAAAATTTCAGATGTTACAATATTTATTGTCCCCCGTTTTTTCGAAGAAAAAAGGGGGATATAGAAATAGCCTCCGTCCGTCTGTCCGTCCGTCCGTCACACTTTCGTGTCCGGTCCATAACTTTGTCATTTATGAAAGGAATTTGAAATAACTTGGCACAAAATGTTTATTATAATAAGACGATGTGTCATGCGCAACAACCAGACCCCTACCTCCAGGGTCAAGGTCACACTTGCTCATTCAAGGTCAAACATTGTCTATTTGAGGGTATATGTCGTGTCCGGTCCATAACTTCTTATCTATGAAGGGATTTTGTAAATATTGCCATAATTGTTCACAATAATCAGATGATGTGTCATGCGCAAAAACCGGTCACCTACTTCCATAAGTCAAGGTCAACACTTGGAGGTCAAATACTTACATAGTCTGTTACAGGGTAATATTTTGTTGTCAGGTCTATAACTTTTTTCATAGATCAAAAGGATTTTGAAAAATACTTCGCACAAATAGTCACTATAATAAGAGGATGTGTCATGCGCAACACCTGCATCCTACCTCAAAGGTCAAGGTCACACTTAGAGGTCAAAAATTACATAGTCTGTTATAGGGTAAATATTTTGTGTCGAATCTAGAACTTCTTCATAGTTCAAGGGATTTTGGAATAACTTGGCCACAAATAGTCACAATAATAAGCCAATATGTCAGGAACAACACCTGCACCCCTACCTCTTAAGGTCAAGGTCACACTTAGAGGTCAAAGGTAACAGAGTCTGTTATTTGGTATATTTTTTGTCCCGTCCATTACTTCTTCATAGATTAAGGGATTTTAAAAAGTACTTAGCACAAATAGTCACAATGGTTAGATGATATGTAATGCATAACATCTGTGTCCCTACCTCCAAGGTCAAGGTCACACTTAGAGGTCAAAGATTTACGTAGTCTGTTATAGGGTATATTTTGTGTCCAATCTATAACTTCTTCATAGTTCAAGGGATTTTGAAAATACTTGGTACAAATAGTCTCGAATCAAAAAGATTTGACATAGAGATTTTTAAATTCCGTGTTTCATTAAACCTTACGGGAAGGTTGCTCAGCATATCATAATTTTTTTGCACCTTGGGATTTATTCAGTATTTGTAGAGTTATTTCCCTTGACATAGTTACTCTCAAAGTAAAACCGTTTCATTATGTTCAGCATATTTAGTTTTGCAACCTGGGGTTTCGCTTATGGATTATTCAGTATTTGTGTTGACCTTGAGTGCTTGAGTTAGAATCAACCAACTTTACAGGAATAATGTATCAACATCACTAAATTACAGGAATAATAATTCACATCACTGTGAAGCTATGCATGTGGATTTTTTTTCAGTTTTGTTAGAGTTATTGCCCTTGACTTACAGTTGTATAAATTTGCAATTTTCAACTTGTTCATGCATAGCTCAAAAAGTATTTCACTTGTTGGCCTGAAAGTTTACAAGAATGTTGGTCAGCATGTATACTTATGCACCTAGGGGTTTGCTTGTGGATTTATTCAGTATTTGTAAAGTTCTTGCAAAAGATTTTTAGTTTTAAAAAAATATTTGACCTAGAGTCATAAGATTGACAGAACAGTGTCGCGTTGGGGGCACCCGTGTCCTATGGACACATTTCTAGTTGAAATAAAAATCTTTCACGACTACCAGTACAGACTAGGGCTGTCATTAAATATCGCTATATCATCCAATACAATTTCGATACACACTTTCAAATATATCAATAAAAGCTAAAATTTATTTACCGGTATATACCTCTCTATTTTGCCTTAAATAAGAGACGTCACTTTTTTCAAGTTTTCTTGGCTAACCTTTTGTTAAATGTCGGTGACAAAAATTACAGAAAAAACTTTCTGTTAGTGTGTAGTATTTGTAATGTCTAATACAAGCATGCAAAACACCATGGTCCCAATTCATAGTGCATATTTTAATGTTTTCATTTATCTACTTTCAAAGTCGATATTTTTTTTTAATATTTGTCTCTTGATATATCAATACAAAATTTTCCATCAATGACAGCCCTAGTACAGACAGGAATATTTAGCTTGATGGGAACTGTTTAGGATAGGATTTTGAGCAACCTGGATATTTACACTAATACCTACATTGTATATATTCTAACATAAGTGATAATTGTGTTCTGTTTCTTATTCTGAAATATTGCCTTTGGTTCTGTTTGACATTGATCATTGTCAGGTGGTTTGTACTTGCAAATGATAAAATACTTTCGACTCAGAATCGTTCTTACTTAGTATTCAGCACAAAAAAAAGTCATTTGCATTTTATTTCACAACTTCAGTTTCTGATTTTTTAAACTTTGTTTTTGTTTAAATTAACATTTATTAAGTATTAAAAATTTTTGCTTTTTTTCAGCATACTCAAGATATTGAAGATTGGTTTGGAAACTCTCATTAACAGAAGGAATAAACAACAAAACAGAATTTTTTTATTGGCCATTGACTTAGTTAATGAAACGTCATACTCATTATAAATGTGAAATCAATGACATTTGTTGACAATTTGAAAAAAAAAAAACCAACATACTAACATATGGTATTGATATCCTTGCAATAGTGAAAAAGTGACATCATTTGAAAAAGTGTGATTGCGATTAC